TATGTAAAATTGTGGATGTGTAACCAACGTGATTCTGCAATCTGCATTTGGGGTAAAATTGGGAGTTCATAACCCACTTCAATCTAATGTATGAAATATGATATGTCATGAGCTTTGTAATGTTGTGAACAACCAATAAAAAAATAATAATAAAAATAAATAAATAAAAAAAATTTCAGATAGTATTTTTTATTAATTGCTAAAGAAACAACTATGGTGAAGTAGGTTTATGTAAGTATCATTCCTACCTTTGACTTTCTGTAACTCTCCACTGACATTTTTCCTCTCAGATGTGAATRCTTTCTTGTTTTCTTCATACCTGTCTCATCTACTTTCAAAAGCCAGCAGGTCAATTTTCTACCTAATTCAAAAAAATATATAATTATTTAAAATTGTGTAATTTTATGCACTAAAAAACTGAGTTTAAGGTGAAGTACAGATTTTGTGTAGAACATGCACTGTGCATGGAGTCATAAGAAATGGATTATAGATACCCTGACTATGCATGTAGCTTTCTCAGCTTATTTCCTCATCTGTAAAATAAGGGTAGATTATTAAATTCCTCTAGTTTTTCTCACAGAAGACCAAACGATGAAGAATTTTAAAATGTTCTATAATTATGCAACATATAACAAAGTAATCAGTTACTTATAATACTCACTGGAAGCAAAAAACAGCATAATAACCTTATTATATTTTGGTTGTGATCAGGCACTGAAGAAGATGTAGTAAAATCAAAGAAAGCATTCAGAAGTCAAGCAATAGTGAACCAGAATGCAGAGACTGAACTTATGTTGGAAGGAGATGATGACGCCGTCAGTCTGCTCCAGGAGAAAGAAATTGACAATCTTGCAGGTAAATTTCAATTTTTCTTCTATTTTGTGTTAACAAATACAGTGAATTTAAGAAAATTTTAATTCTATCTCCTGGTGAATAAATGTGCACTCATAGTTGTCAAAATGTTCAATCATTTGAAAGTAAATTTTCTACTATATTGTTTTCTGCTATTGAAGAGAGAACCATAAGTAAGTGTGTATTTTCCAGACCAAAACAATGAATAGCACTAACTTTCTATATGATAAAGAGCAAATTTTTATATGGGAGAAGTAAAAACATAGTCGAAGTTGTCCACATATCRCTGTGTATATCACTGGGAGGTTGGACAGGGTGATAGATCCCTTGGCTTATATCTAATAGCCCCTTCTGCCAGGTGACCGTGGAATTTGCCATTTTCTCCCTGCTGTCACTCTTTGGAATGCGCTTTCCCCTTCCCATTTTGCTATCAGATCTCATATTGCTAGTCTCCCATCACTAGCAGACATTTTTCCMCACCTACTTTCCATTCTTATCTTCTCTAAGTAATGGTCTGAGGTCAATTGAGGACAGCTTCTATAAGGACCAGTTGGGATATAGTTATCCTAATATATTGGTTAACAACCTTTTTGTGGTTTCAAACCAKTTTGAGAGCCTGATGAAAGCAGATCACTTTATGAAGATGCATATAGAATTTTGTGTACAATTTCAGACCATTCACTGAACCCCAGAAACCGGTGTATGAAATTATACCCTGATCTCCAGTTAAATACTCCTACTTTAGAGTTTCAAAAAAAAGTGGCCAAGTGTTATCTCAGTTCTATATTTTCAGCCCACACAACAACAAGGTAGAAGTTAACAATAAGAAGTAGACTAYAGTTATCATTCTATTTACAAAATCACATTTCACTTTCTGGGAGCATTCCAAAAATTATCTGGCAAGGCTGTATGAAAGCTTTAGTGATTTATTTCTACCAGTTAGACATTTCCCTTTTTACCAAAGAGAGGACATTAATTGTAAAGTGGACATGGTATCTTATTCTCACTCTTCTAGATTAACAAGGCTATTCCAATGCCAGTTCCTGGATATGCCTTCTTACTAATGTTCCCATATCATAACTATTTCTTCTATTTATTCTTCTATTTAAAACTACTCTGAAATCTATGACTAAATATTTGCCTTGAATTCCTTAAGTAAATGTTCAAGTTTTGGTTTTAGAAGTARAAGCAAATGAAACTCACTAATTCTGTTTGCCCACAAATATTTATTTTTTTCCTGGTCTTGCGTCCTTGATCTTAAAGATCATAGGAAATTCACAAATGTGGTGCCTAATCTTTTTAGATAATGGCTTGCCCTTTTTCATTCACATATGCTAACATGTAGTTTAAACTCTTTCTGGTCCTTTCTTTTTTTTTTAATATTACTTTTAGTTGTCAATGGACCTTTATTTATTTACATGTGGTGCTAAGAATTGAACCYAGTGCCTCACACATGCTAAGCAAGCGCTCTACCACTGAGCCACAACTCCAACCCCTTCTTTCTGGTCCTTTCTTGCATTAAAGATAATTAGTTGATTCAAATGTGCCTTGTCCCTTGAAGTATATCATTAAAATCTACCCTGTAATATCAGTGAAAAATGCAGAAAATCTAATAACTATATTTCTCTCCTTTAACATTAACTAATCCGATATATTAATTTATATTTRTAAACAAAATTTTAAAACACATTAAGTTCCAATATCCAAAGACAATTAAAATATTCCATTTAAATAAATTTATTTCAAAATTTTTAAATCTGGAGTATCATAATAATGACAATAATGTTACATAAAATTTATATGAAAAATCAAATTATGAACCTTCTAATGAATTTGCTCTATCAAGACTCTTCTCACTTCTTTTAACAGATTTTTCTTGAGCAGCTCTGTTCCTATCCATATCCACCTGATCCTACCTAATACTCTTCTTTTAGGATCCTTGTGTCTGAAAAATCTTATTAGCTGTCTTAAAATATTGATCCCCTGCCTAGTCTATCATGTTTATTTTTTAAAGAGCAGTTCAAAATGTTACTTGGAGGAATTTTGAATGCAGTGGAAAAGAAGTGGGAGATGGATGTTTTGTGAAGGGAAAAGTAAGAGCCACAGAAGTTGTCTACATAATGAATAGGGATGTGTAGATTGACTCTGTATAGACTACCATGATAGTGACAATGTTACATAAAATTCACTTTTAGAAGTTAATTACAAACTAGAAGTCCCAGGTTTAAGAAATCAGGTATTTGTGAAGTTTCAGATCACATAAATACATAACATTTTGTTCCAAGAAATTATTGTACCAGATTATGGATATCTATGTCAGAAATTTAAATTTACTAAGTAATATCTATCTTATCCAGAATTTAGCATCCGAAATAGCATAATAATACTATACTGCCTAAAGAAAAGTTCACCATCATAGGAGACCAAAATCCAAGAGATCCTAAAATCTGTGTACAATATTAATATAATCTTTTATTTATTTGGTGTCACAGACATATTCCATAAAAAATGTTTGTTTCCATGTTAAAGATGGAAATTACAGGTTTGCCTTTTCATTATTACCTTAATGATATGGCTTGCCCATTATTCATATATAAATGAACTGTCAAAATGTGCACATAATTGAGTTTTCAGATTTTAGATTGTATATGAAAGAATGCACTATTTTACAATAGTAAAGTTAAGCCTAAACCTTCTAATTAACATAAAGCATTTTCCTCTTGTTACAAAACCCTGTTTTCATAACATAGGCATATAGAAAAAGAAACCATACATATAATTTTTTAGTATGCAATATTAAGTTAAATAGAAAGAGTTTGCTACTTAGTAAAGAAAACTAAGGAACATTACTAATTAAGATTAATTCCTTATTTTGGTTTAAATGAAATGTTTTTAGAAACACTTTTGTTTCTAAAAAGAATAAAAATAGAAAGGAGAAAAATAGTTAGCATGTCTTTTTAGGAACCAGTGTTCAGACAGCTTTATGTGCAATAATCATTTATCTTTCACAACAACCCCATGAGATATAAATTATGATTACTAGTACTTTAAGAAATAAGATATGGGGCTGGAGATGTGGCTCAGCGGTAGCGCGCTCGCCTGGCATGCGTGCGGCCTGGGTTCGATCCTCAGCACCACATACCAACAAAGATGTTGTGTCCGCCGAGAACTAAAAAATAAATATTAAAAAATTCTAAAAAAAAAAAAAAAGAAATAAGATATGGAGGTCCAGAAAGATTAACTTGTATAAAGTTAAGAACTGTACATAAAATAGCATTTCTTTAAAAATACATAGTATATGGTTTACACTAAAATTCATCCAATTTTACATTTAAATATGTATATATCCAGGTGTATATTTGATACTTAAAGATTCAAACAGGGAAAAGTGAAACCCTGTCCTTATAACTCCATCTTACATTAGCTCTTTTATATTTACTTAGAAGTCTGTGAATATGCATAATAATTAATTTTAGCTTTAATTATAGTCTAGGTGTTCACCAAAATCATTCTGGTAAGTTAAAAATATTTGATAAGCAATAGAATACTTTTACCACAATTTTACTTAAATATTGACTCACGTGTTTTTTCCATTTTGTTCCGAGCCTTCTAATTTTAATAAAGATAAATTGTTCCACAAAGTTTTTTAGCTTTCTGTTTTACTTTTAGTTCCCTTTCTTGCCAAGCTRTTCATCTCAAGAAGCAAATTAAATATGTGTGATTACTAATTACTCAATTTATTATATATTATAGCAAATGGCTAATATGATTACAGTATAGAAGTATACCAATCAATTAAGTAATTATTACATTAATAACACCTAACTTAATTTATTTCAGTTGCTTTTTTAGTTTGTAGTAATTACTGAAGTGAATGAGCAACTATGATTCCATATGCACTTAAAAATTTCAGTTAACTAATTATAATTTGGGATAAAATATTTAGATTAATCAGTATAACAACCAATTTTAATCTAAAATATCAATTACTTATTTTAATTTAAAATTTAGTAAGTTATTTCTTCAAATAATTATAAAGTAATATTTAAGATTAACTCCAATTTTTGTGAATGATTTAATTCAACTGGTAGAATTATGTCCCAGTAGTGAAATGTATTTTCTTTTAGAATGTCCTATATGCTGGGTGATACTAGAAACATTTTACAATTTCCAAATTTCCAAATAATTAGAATTCATACAAATTTATTTATTATTACTTCCAAAAGTTAGAAATCCTAGTAATTTAGGAAATTCAAAGTTGTTAATAATGCTGACAGTGATGGTCTTTAATGCTTTATTATCAATTCTATAAGCTGTAATAACTTTATTTTCTGCTGTTGTTACATAATAAGCCGTTACCAATAATTTACCCATCCATTTAAGATTCAATAACTTAAAACTTTTCTACACGCCTAAACTAATACCTAAACTTCCTTCTCTCCTGAAATATCCTTCTCAACTCTGTATTTACACCCTCCCTGTCTCCTCTTATCACAAACCCATTTTTTAGGACCCATTTAAAACACAATCAATCCCAGAGCAGAGCCACACTCTGATCCCAGCAGCTTGGGAAGCTTAGGCAGGTGGATCAAGAGTTCAAAGCCAGCCTCAGCAAAGGCTAGGTTTAAATGTCATGATACTTAAAGACTCAAACAGGGGAAAGTGAAACCCTGTCTTTATAACTCCATCTTACATTAGCTCTATTGTATTATACTTAGAAGTCTTTTTAGCTTAAATCCATCCCATATATTGATTCTTGACATTCCATAACATTTTTATTATATCATTCTTAAGACACTTATCACATAAAGCATCATATTGTGAAACAACTCAGTGAGACCCTGTCTCCAAATAAAATACAAAACAATAAGGCTGGAAATGTTGCTCAGTGGTTGAATGCCCCTGAGTTCAGTCCCTGACACCAGAACACACACACACATAAATACACACATACATGAAATATTCACTAGTCAATTGTGTATCCCTACAACATTTTTTGTCAA